TCTCTATTCTGTTCCATACATCTACCTCTCTATTTTTGTGCCAGTACCATGCTGTTTTGATCACTATGGATTTGTAGTATAGTCTGAGGTCTAGTAGGATAATTCTTTCTTTCACTGCAAAGGTTATTTTCTCATAAAGAACCAGGCACAGTAAATTATTCTGTCAATAAGTATATTTGACTTTTAAAAATTCTAACAACTGAGTTCAATCGGTAGCAGGAGCAGAGAGTGGACCTCAGAGAGGCCTGCGCAACCTCACTGACACCGCTGGCCTAGTTGACACATCAAGAGAAGCTGCAGCTGGACACCAAGACCAGCACTACAGGCAGCAGTACAGGGAGCAGTGGCCCAGGCAACCTTACATTGGCAGGCCACTGGCAGGGATGACAAGGTTGTCACAATGAAGGTTTTGAGAACAGTAAAATAGTTCAATGTAAGGAAAGGATATGGTTTCATGAAGAGGGATGACACCAAGGAAGATGTATTTGTATATCAGACTGCCATAAGCAAAAATAACTCCTCTACCTTTGCCACTTAGGAAGAGAGACTGTGAAGGATGATGCTGAAGGAGAAAAGGGTGTGTAAGTAGCAAATGTTACAGGCCCTGGAGGAATTCCAGTTCCAGGCTAGCAGCAGACCATAACCATTATAGCCGTGATTTTCAACCGGTGTGTCACAAAATTTTTAAAGATTAATTTAATTATTTTTGAAAGAAGTTCAAAGCAAAGTACAGTTTTTTTCAGGTTCAAGTGTGCCGTGAGATAAAGTTGAAAAACACTGCATTATGGACACTATCCATGCCCCAGGTATCCTTCAGGCAATTACTAGCAGATTTACCAGAGTAGTGAGAGCAGGGATGAGAAAAGGGATCAGAGCGTGCTGCTGAAGGCCAGTTGATCCACTAGCTGAGAGAGAGTCTGCTATTAAGGTTGAGTAAAGGCCAGTTTATCACCTCTATTCTCACTTCGATTACTCATCCATTAAGAAATGAATATAAAATTCCAGAATAAGAAATGAACAAAAGATTGGAGCTGAAGACCTTAAGTGCTGTTCCTTGGCCACTGACCTGATAACTAAAACTATCTGCATTATCTATGTAGTATGGGGCTTTTATTATTTTTACCTAGAGACATCTTTTTATATAATAATAAATGTGTTTTTTTAAAAAGCCTGTTTTTTTCTCAATAGGGCTTTAAGTTTTTTTCTTTTTTTTTTTTTTTTGAGACAGGTCTCACTCTGTTGCCCTGAGTAGAGTGCAGTAGCATCATAGCTCACAGCAACCTCAAACTTGTGGAACTGGCTTGGCGCCTGTGGCTCAAGCGGCTTGGGCGCCAGCCACATACACCTTAGGTGGCGGGTTTGAATCCAGCCCGGGCCCGCCAAACAACAATAATGGCTGCAACCAAAAAATAGCTGGGTGCTGTGGCGGGTGCCTGTGGTCCCAGCTACTTGGGAGGCTGAGGCAGGAGACTCGCTTGAGCACAGGAGTTGGAGGTTGCTGTGAGCAGTGAAGCCATGGCACTCTACCCAGGGGAACAGCTTGAGGCTCTGTCTCAAAAAAAAAAAAAACAAAAAAAACTTGTGGGCCTGAGAGATCCCCCTGCCTCAGCCTCCTGAGTAGCTGGGACTATAGGCACGCCTCACAATGCCCAGACAGTTTTTCTAGTTTTTTAGTAGAGACAGAGTCTCAATCATGTTCAGGCTGGTCTTAAACTCCTGAGCTCAGCTACCTTGGCCTCCCAGAGTGATAGGATTATAGGCATGAGGCACTACACCTGGTCTGCATTTAAAGATTTTCAAAGTGTTTCATACCTGGTCAAGTTAAGACTTAAGAATTTCACCTTCATTTACCTTTTTGATAACAAGAGTCTCACTTTGTCACCCTGGATAGAGTGCCATGGCATCATAGCTCACAGCAACCTCAAACTCTTGGGCTCAAGCAATCTTCCTGCCTCAGCCTCCTGAGTAGCTAGGACTATATGTGTCCACCACAATGCCCTATTAGTTTTAGAGATGGGGTCTTGCTCTTGCTCAAGTAATCTACCTGCCTTGGCCTCCCAGAGTGCTAGGATTCCAGGCATGAGCTACTGTGCTCAGCCTCATTTTTAATTTCTAATAAGCGTTTACAGGCTTGGCACCCGTAGCACAGTGGTTACGGTGCCAACCACATATACCGAGGCTGGCGGGTTTGAACCTGGCCTGGGCCAGCTAAACAATGACAACTGCAACAAATAAAAAAATAAAAAAATAGCCTGGTGTTGTGGCAGGCGCCTGTAGTCCCAGCTACTTGGGAGGCTGAGGCAAGAGAATCGCTTAAGCCCAAGAGTTGGAGGTTGCTGTGAAGCCATGGCATTCTACCAAGGACAACATAGAGAGACTCTGTCTCAAAAAAAAAAAAAAAGAAGAAGAGTTTAGAACTTGATTTTTTTCAAAAGAGTTAACAAAAAGCATAGTGGGGGGAAAAGAATCCCTATTCAATAAATGGTATTGGGAGAAGTGGAGAACCACATGTGAAAGATTGAAACTAGACCCACACCTTTCACCGCTAACAAAAATTGACTCAAGATGGATAAAAGATTTAATCCAAGACATGAAATGATAAAAATCTTAGAAGTATGAGAAAAACTCTTGATGATGTTGGACTAGGAAAAGCATTTATGACACAGACTTCAGCAGCAATCACAGACAACAAAAATAAACAAATGGGACTTAAGCTGAAAACCTTCTGCACAACTAAGGACACAAAAACTAAAGCAAAAAGACAATCTTCAAAATGGTAAAAGATATTAGGAGGGTATTAATCTGACAAAGCGTTGATAACTAGAATCTACAGAGAACTCAAATTAAGCAACAATAACAAAAAAAGACCAAACAATCCCATCTACCACTGGGTAAGAGATGTATGAATAGAACCTTCTCTGAGGAAGACACATGAATGGCTAACAAACATTTGAAAAAATGCTCACCAGGCCTCATCATTAGAAACGCAAATCAAAACCACCCCAAGATACCACCTAACCCCAACATCATAAAGTCTCAAAGCTGAAGATGCTGGCGTGGATGTGTAGAAAAGGGAACAGTTTTACACTGCTGGTGGGACTGCAAACTAAGAACTGAAACTAGACCTTCCATTTGATCCTGCAATTCCATTACTAGGAATCTACCCAGAAGAAAAAAAAAAATCATTTTATCACAAGGACATCTGCCCTAGACTATTGCAGCTCAATTTACAGTCACTAAAATATGGAAACAACCTAAATGCCCACTAACCTAGGAATAAATTAACAAGCTGTGGTATATGTATACCATGGAATACTATTCAGCCA